GCTGAGTGTCAGCCTAGCTGCTCTGTAAACTTAACCCCCTTGTCTTAACTTCCATCTGCAGTAGGGCACGTTGGGATCCAGAAGCTTGTGCTAGTGTGTCTGGTTAGTTACAGAAATTCAAACTCAGGTTGTCAGGCTCATGTGTCAGACACTGTACCACAGTGAGCTGTCTGCCCATTCCAGGAGAGCCATTTTCCTCGCTCGTTTGTCTTGCTGAACTCATAGTCATATATTTCAAGACTGGTTAATGGGAAGGAATCTAATGTTTTGAGCGTTCCTAGAACCTTGGTATTAAGAAGATGGAAGTAGGGAGTTGGAGAGATGGCTCAGTGATTAAGATCATTGGCTGTTTTTACAGAGGACCTGGGCTCAATTCCTAGCACCCACATGGCAACTCACAGCTGTCTGTGACTCCAGTTCCAGAGGATCTGACACTCTCACACCAATGAACATAAAATTTAAAAAAAGAAAAAAAAAACAAACAAAAACCCCAAAGATAGCTATAGTAAAATTCTTAAAGAGAGAGAGAGAGAGAGAGAGAGAGAGAGACGTAAAGAGGTAAACAGACCAGAATATGTGAAGCATGTGTATTTATGATTCTGCCTTAAAAAGAAAGCCATATTTTACACTTGGGTATACAGTCCCTAAATATGAACCTATGTTGGATACATTCACAATTAATTGCCTTTTAACAGCCTTCTCCAATATCCCCTGTGTTAGAAACGAAAATTAAAAAACAAACAAACAAACAAAACAGCAACAACAAAATCCATTGCTATAAGAAGTGCTCAAGAGCAATAGGTTAATTGTTTTAACTCACAGTTGTTCTGAAATTCCATTCTAGGGTTAGCTTTGGGGTGAGTATGATGCAGAACACCATGGCAACAGCAGCATGAGGCTTAAGGTGGCCACTCAATGCATGATGGCTGGGATGCAGAGATGAGAAATGGAGAGGCCGGAACAAATAGAGCCATCAAAGGCATAACTTTAGCTATTCCATTTGTCAGAGCAGGCCCCCCCTTCCATAGTTTTCACCAGCTCTCAGTACTTAGTTTTGAGCCCATCAGTGAATTAATTCACCCTTCATAGCAGAGCCCTCATGACTCAGTCTCCTTGTACTGTGTGGCTCCCTTGCTAGGGAACCAAGTCTTCAGTTCATAGACATTGGGAGAAGATGCTTCATATTCAAAACAATATACTGTACTTTCCCAATCTCAGGCAAGATTGACTAAAAATGGAAGCTAGGGAGAGCTCAAAAGTAGAAGATATTTTAATTAAGAATACACCAGATGCTGGACATTGGTGGCACATGCCTTTAATCCCAGCACTTGGGAGGCAGAAGCAGGTGGATCTCAGTGAGTTCGAGGCCAGCCTGGTCTACAAGAGCTAGTTTCAGGTCATGTTCCAAAGCTACAGAGAAACCCTGTCTCAAAACAAAACAAAACAAAACAAAACAAAAAAACCCATACACCAAAAGTCATTTTCTGATTAGGAGATTTTGACAATGTAAAAGCAAACAGGTATATATCATAAGCTCAAAGTTAAATCGTGCTGTTCTTACACGGGGTTAAGCTCTTGCTAGTTTTAATAAATGATAAATCTTTTTGCCTATGCTACCAGATTTAATATTAAGAGAATATATGGCTGGATATTGCCCATTTAGGTATATGAATGGCTTTCCTAGCAGGAACCTAACATGGTGTATTAAGGATTGTTGCCACTTGTGGTCTTTATTTGTCATTGTCTGATGCAATCAGTTTAGCCAGAATCTTGAGGATAAAGAACAGACGGTAGGAATCAGTCATCCTTCCTCTGGAAGATCTCTTTGGAGTAGTGAACAGTCATTAGTCAATTCCCTCCCAGCTGTCTTTCTAGAAACTCCATAGATGGCCGTCGGGGAGGATTTTGCTTTCATAACCACGTTGCTAGTTATGTGAGCTTGGGAAGTTCATTGTCCCTCTCTTAATCTTTGAGTTGTGCATTTTAAAGGTCAGAGATTGGGCTACTGTACTACTGATTTCTTCTTCTTGTGTCCATTATCTCTATCAGATGATAGCCCAGGAGGATTCAATAAAAAGTAAAGGGCCAGTGAAAAAAATTGATAAAGGCTATTCCCTGTTGTGTCTATGTCTTGAAAAGAAACCACAGAAATAACCATATTGAAAGAAATTTTTTCCAAAAGCGCTAAGTGCCTAAAATATATTCTGTACTGAAAGTGTAAAGTTTAATGTGAACCTACACAGGTTCTGTTCCAAATGCCTGTTCTAACTTTGTAGAAGTTCATTGAGTTGTATAGACTGGGTTCGGTTAATTTTGGTGTGTGATATTTTCATGCCAATTTTTATAATAAAGTTTAAAAAGTTAAGAAAAGTGAATTTCAAGTGAAGATTATATTATAACTCCATCAAATAGTTCAATGGAGCATGTCTGGTATTGATAACAGAAGTGCTGGAGGCATCTGCATTAGTGAGCACAGAATCCAGAAAATCTGTGTTGTCAACTTCTTAGGAGACTTTGGTCAGACCATTGGGAACACAGATTTATTTTTGTCTCCATTCCATTTTAATGTTGAATTCTACTCTGGGGACCAAACAAAAGACTCTTAATATTTTTGTTTCTAACTTCTCTGGAGACCTGGGACTACTGGCTTGATCCCTGTGAATGGCTTCCCATATCTTTCTTGCTAACCCACCTATCGACAATTTGCAGTAGGCATTGTTGCTGCAGCCTCTGTTGAGAAGGCAGAAGAGTTGGAGATAAAGGGCCTAGCAAGTTAGTATGGTAGTATCACTTCTGCAGAGCCAGGTCCAGATATTTACTATATATGAGAGTCCCTTAAGTGTTGAGGACTATCGTGATTCACCAGAGGATATGGGTGCAGTTCTTTGTTCCTGACCCTGTTGGATTGCTCCTCTCAGCTCCCCAACCCCAATCATGGATAGTAGAAAGTGCCTTTCAGCTCTGGTGTGATATCTTCTGGAATTGGGGAGAAATATAACTTCATATCTTCTCGCGGAGACCTTTCAGTTTTAGGGAAAACAAAGTCTGGAGCAAGCTTCTGAACCTCTCTGTATCTGTTTTCTCCTTCATATGACAGTGCTTAAATCTTTGGATTATTGAGAAGGATCTGGGGAAAGTTAGAAACATGTCAACCCCTAGCAGAAGATGAACCCACAGTATCAAATGGACATTGGCTGATTCAAGCGTCAAGTCTTCTGATGCTTTCTTTCTTAGAAACCTTGATCTTTGGAGCCCATTTCTTCCTGGCAGGGCCCCAGAGGGCCCCAGATGCATCTGGCATTTAGTTCCTCAGTCCCAGGCTGTTTTGTAGTCAATAGGAGATCCTGTTTGACCTCTCATGTTCTCTGCACTTTCTACAAGTTTACCCTGTATGCAAACTTGAGCTCTTTCCACTGGTTTCAAGCATTCCATGACTTGAGTCTATGATGTTGCCTGGCATTTTGTTAAAACTTCCAGGACCTCCTTTTGCACTTTTCCTCTCCAGGAGCTCCCACCCCATTAGCACCAATCAACCAGGCCTCAAGTATCTTAAAATTCTGAGTCAGTCGAAAGGACAGTGGTATAGGGCTTACCAGCATACCAATGCATCCAAGAGAGAATAGCTGTAAAAGTTGTTTTATACCATTACCATTACAGGGCCACAAAGAAAATAATGTGGCTTTGCTTATCCGCATAACCACAACTGCATGCTTTAGTATGACTTTGGTACGATAAGAAGTTATTAAGTATTGAAAAATCAAACAAGATAAGATGTTTTAATAGATACAGTATAGCTGGGTGGTGGTGGCATATTCCTTTAATCCCAACACTCAGGAGAGAGGCAGGTGGATCTCTGTGAGTTCGAAGCCAGCCTGGTCTACAAGTGGTAGTTCCAGGATAGCCAGAGAGGTTACACAGAGAAACCTTGTCTTGAAAAACCAAAATCAAAATCAATAAATTAATAGATACAGTATAGAAAAAAAAGAAGTTTACTCCATACAAAGCAGATAACTACATACAGTGAGTTGTGGAGATTGGTTCAGAATCCTTACAGTCCTATAAAAAGTGACAAAACAAAAATATTATCAATGACAGGGAAATTGGTTTATTCCTGGTAGTCTTCTGTGAGATGAGCCAATGCCTTCACGGAGAAGAGAAGGTGGCTCTCACGGTGTTCCCTCACCTGGCTGCGTGGAGAGCGCAGGGGCAGACTCTGGAAGAAATGCTGACCATTCACCGTGTCCTCAGACAGGATTTATGTCTCAGAATTCAGTATTTATAATAAAACCAAATGTTCAGTACCAACTAGGTGTGTTTACTGAGGGCATTTACATTCTGAGGATGTTGTCAGAATGTCCATAGGCAGTAGAAGCAGAATTGAAGATGTACTCTTTTTAAATTATTATTGTTATTGTTCTAATTTTATTTATTATGCCCCCACCATGTTCTATATGTATGTGTATATATATATATATATATATATGTGTGTATGTATATGGGAGTGTGTATGTCACTGTATGACTGTGGAGGTCAGAAGACAGCTTTGTGGAGTTACTTCTCTCCTATATTTGTGTGGATTCCATCAGATCGCCAGGCTGTCTGGTAAGCTCTATCCATTGAGCAACCTGGATGTCCCAGCATTGTTCTTTGTGGAAGAGAAACCTATTGCCAAGTGTGGTCCATTCATGGTGTCTACTAAAAGTTTGGAGGCAAAAGGTTTCTGACAATCACTGTATTGATTTTGCTGAAAGGTAATGAAGTATGTTTTGAAGCAAATTTTTGGAGGTTACCAGTTTTCCTCTTGGGTAGCTCTGCTTTTCTACAGACAGCGCTCAACACGATGTCACATTTCTGTCCAGCTGCTCCACATAGTGTCTCGCCCGCTCCTGCAGGACTCCTCACTGCTTGCTTTCCCCACTGGGGTCCTATGTAGGCTTCAGGAAACTTAGGCTCTGAAGCAAATGATTGTGCCATTTCTCATATTTATATTTTCATTTCAGAAAGTGGATGTCACCAGCAGGGCTGTGATGGAAATAATGACTAAAACAATTGAATACCTTCAGCCCAATCCGGGTAAGTGTTGTCTTGTGCAGTTGGAGTTCCCTCAGGTTAGCCTCTCACTGATTGACAGGTCAGATTTGGTAGGTTTCCCCTTCCTGTGAGGGAGGGTCCATTTTAAAGCTCACGTTAAAATCCCTGCAAAGTATGTGGTATTTTATCCGACTGTGGTGTCCTTAACAGTGAATGTATACAGCTTGGGTGACACATCATGTCAGGGTAGCTACAACTTATTTTCAGCTGATCTTTAATTTTCAAGAAATGGTAAGAAAGAACATGAGACAGTTTTGGAATTGGTTGTGATGACTTCCAAATGATAAGGAAAAGAGTAAGCTAAATATTTTTGTGAAGTACAAATGGTTTATGCTTATACGGCATAGAGGGTTGTCCCTTCTTCTCTCCTGGCACATCATAGGCCAGCATTAGTTCCTGCTCACCTCTTGCAGTATGTCTCTAATGTGGGAAGTTCTTCTGTATATGTGTTGCTTTTATTGATTAATGAACAAAGAAGCTACTTGGGCCTACAGCAGGGCAGAATAGAGTTAAGTGCAAAAACTAAACTGAATGCTTTGAGAAAGTAGGCGGAGTCAGAGAGACACATGTAGCTGCCGGAGGAGAAAGATGCCTGCGTGCTGGTACCAGTAAACCATGAGCCTCATGATAAAATACAAAATAATAGAAATGGGTTAATTTAAGATGTAAGAGTTATTTAAAAAGAAGCCTAAGCTAATAGGCCAAGCAGTGTTTTAATTAATACAGTTTCTGGGTGACTATTTTGGGTCTGAGTAGCCAGGAAACAAATGAGTGGTCTCTGCCTACAGATCTGAGACAGGAATTGTAGTAGAGATAATGGGAGTCCCCAGAAGACAGAACCAGGTATGACTGCTGCTATCTCTGTGGTACTAGGTAGAGCGGAGCACTCTCTCCTCCATCATAGGCCTTCTTACATTGTATGGGCTTTAATGCCTGACCCCAGCTACAATTTGAAGCAAGGCTAACTATACTACTTGAAGAAATATGAGGATTTGGAATGCTAGTTGCCTTTTAGTCTTGTTTCTGTGGGAATTTCACTTAAGGTTCTAGGTCTCTGGGAGTCCTTAAGATCCAGGCAATGAGTTCAGTCTCAGTGGGCTCAGATACAGGGTCTAAGTGGCAAAGGGGAACAAGAGAGTGTGGGGCAGAAGCACGGAAGTGCTGAGGTGCTGAGGCTGCAGGCTCCCTCCTGATTCCTGGCTGCTGACTGCCATCTTCTTTCGATCTTACTGTGGTAGCTCAGTTACTATCTCCAACATGAATCCATGATGTAGAAATGATATTCACTCTATTTTCTCTTAAGCTATATTAGAGATGAGGTAATCTGATAGAGGAAACATAGAAGAAAATATGAAAGGTTCAGAAATGACTTTAACTGATCATAGACCAGATAAGTTTTCAAGGTGATTTGTAAGCAATGTCATGAATACCAAGAAACCAAGTTTCATGTCACTGCCTTCGTTCTTCCTAGTGTTTATATTCCACAGAGATACAAATATCTCATAGACACACACACCTTTATTCAAACAATGGTACTAGGTCAAGTCTTGAAAAGAGAGCTGCTCACCTCACCTGGCTTTACCATAGTGATGGTTTTATAGAATCAAGAAATATACCTATTATCTTTGCAAAAATCCTTAAAGAACCCCATGTTTCCTTCATCTTCATGTGTGAATTACATTAGTGACTAACTGTTGTGGGACATGGTGTCAGGAATGAGAGGAGAAAGATGGTATTTTTCCAGGTCTATTGCAGCTTCAGTACAGTACCAGTAACATACAATCTCATCTTGAAACATATCTAACTTTATTTTTGACAGTCCCATACATGTATATATTATGTTTTGATCATATTCAGTTAGTTTCTCTCTTGGGTTTTCCCTCCTCCCACAGATACTTTTCTACTTTTCAACCAGTCCCTCTCCTACTTCGGTGTCTTTGTTTGTGTGATCCTGTGAGTGTCATAAGGGTTGCTTACCAATCTGAGTGAGGGTTCTTGCAACAGCATGGGCAATTTATGAGTGGCCTACACCATAGAAGATGAGTCCCTCTCTCTCCCGGAAGCTGTTAACTGCCTCTGAATCGTCAGGGAGAGGTGGAGCCTGATGCATTAGTTCCTCCCCATCCATAAGAGAATATGGAGAGTCTTAATCTTGTTGAGAGAATCACACCTCCTGTGGGTTGAGTGAAAGCACCACATCAAGCCCTAAACTCTGTATTCCACAATGCTACTCTATTCCTTCAATTTTTATATTCTTTCTACTTTTTCTACTACACTGTTCCCTAAGTGTTGAGAGACTAAGCGTAGATGTCTCATTTTGTGTTGAGCACTCAGGATCTTATTCTCTCACACTTTACCAATTGTGAGTTTGGTAGCACAGAAGTTTCTGTCCTGCCTGGTTCCACCACTGTTCAGTCCCAAAGAAAAACACAGAGGCTTATATTAATTATAAACTATTTGACCTGTTAGCTCAGGCTTAATATTAACTACCTCTTACAATTTAAGTTAACCCATAATTCTTGTTTATGTTTTGCCATGTCACTTGGTACCTTTTAAAAGTGAGGCATTCTCATCTTGCTTCCTCTGTGTCTGGGTGGCCACTGCAGACCCAGCCTTTTCTCTTCTCAGAATTTTCCCAGTCTGGTCGCCCTGCCTATACTTCCTGCTTGGTTAATCAATGTTTTATTAAACCAATAAGAGTAGCAAATCTTTATAGGACACAGCAATCTGCAGTAACTGTTGTCTATCTACTACAGACGTAGCTTCTCTGACCAAAGCTGACAGTAGCACTAATCTGTGGGCAAAAATGAAATATTTAGAAAAATGTTTGAGGAACAACATGGCCATTTAGCAAAGTAACTGCTTTAGGATACCCCTGAGGCCTGTGTCCTCCCCATCCTGGGCTTTTTGAATTAAATTGGAAGTAGGCATACGTTTTCTCCCTTGAAGCGAACCTCAACATCAGGAAGGGGTGAGTGCCCCCATAAGAGACAAGCCTCGGTTGCACCAAGAAACACATCTTGCTTGGGTTGTTACAGGATCCACAGCTGAGTAAAACAGTTGATAGTTTTCCCATAACAGCAGGAAAAGAACCTGCTAGTGATAGGAGGGCTGGCTAGCAGGGAGGAAGCTTCCAGCTCAGTTCAGCTCTGTTTCTCTCCGTCCTCCTATCTGAAGCTGTGGTATCCTCAACAAAATGATCTTTCCATGTAGATCGTCTGTTTCCTCTCTATTGTAAATGAACGTGATGGCAAGGACGCCTGTGGAATCCCTGCCCTGATTCCCGTAGTAGAGTTCGCACTACTTTAACCTCCCACTGGGAATGAGTAAGGGTTTCCATTGCATTCTCCAGGCTCTGGACAGTGAGCGTTGTCATTTGTTTTGTCATGAGAACGACTGCTCTGACTGGAGTGAGATGGAATCTCAAAGGAGTTTTAGTTTGCATTTCTCTGATGACTAGCACTTTTAATGTAGATCTTGAACACTTTTTAAAATATTTATTTGTCATCTGTAACTTCTTCTGAGGTCTCTCCATCCAGTTCCATAGCTGTGTTTTCAACTGGAGTGTTTGCTTTCTTGTTGCATGGCTTTTGTTTTTGTTTTTGTTTTTGTTTTTTTGAGTTCTATTAAATGTATAGCTGTCAAAGATTGTGTCCCATTCTGTAGGCTGTCTCTTCATAGCTGTTTCCTAACTTCTTGAGGTCCTGTTTATCAGCTGTTGACCTTACTTCCTTAGTATTTACGTCCTATTCCAAGACCTTACTTATTCCAGTATGATGATGTTTTCCCTATTTTTACCTCTAGCATTTCAGGCATTTCGATATTACCTTAAGGTCTTCCTTCTGCTTGGAGTTGATTTTTGGAGAGATGAGAGATAAGACCTAGATAATTTTTCTTTATGGAGATACCCAGGTTCCCAGCACCATCTCTTTCTTGAATAGGCCACCTTTTCTCCAATGAGCATTTTTAGTGGCTTTGTAAAAAACCACGTATCTATAATTGCTTGGGTTCATAGCTGAATGCTCTGTGGTAGTCTACCCATGTCTTTTGTGCCGGTACCCCACTGTTTTCCATCCATGGTTCTGAAATGTAACTTCATAGGAGGCATAGTGAAACCTCTAGCCCTACTGTTCTCCCACTCCGCTCAGGATTACTTTGGAAGTCTGTGCTTCCAGATGAATTTTAATGTTTTTTTTCTATTTCTGTGAGGAATGGCATTAGAATTTTGATGGAGATTATGTTGAATATATAGATTGTGTTTGGTAAGATAGCCATTTTTATAATGTTGATTCTTCCAATATGAGTGTGAGATATATTTGCACATTCAAGTGTCTCCTTTAACTTTTTCCAGTATTTTAATGTTTCAAAGGCCTTTCACTCCTTTGCTTAGAGTCATTCTATTTTTGTACATATGAAATTTATCAATCAGATGGTTTCCCCTATTTCTTCCTCAGCATGTTGGATATTGGTATATGGAAAGGCTACTGATTTTTTAATGTTAATCTTGTATCTTGCCAGTATGCTGTAAGTGTTGATCAATTCTAGGAGTTTTCTAGTGGAATCTTTATGGTATGATGTATTGACTTCTATCATCTACAAATAAGAATACTTTTCTTTTTCCTTTCCTTGTGTGTTTTCTTTTACATTGCTTGTTTTGTCTTATTGCTCTTGCTAAGGCTTCCAGTACTATAGTGAATGAGTGTAGACAAAGTGGACAAACAGCCTTGTCTTGTTCCTGATTTTAGTGGAAATGTTTTGAGTTTTTCCCTATGTAATATAATTTTGCCTATAGTTTTGGCACACATTGCCTTATTGTATACAGATATGTCCTCTCTGTTACCAGTTTATTTGTAACTTTATCATGAAGGAATATTGGATCTTGTGAAAGGCCTTTTCTACATCTATGTGATGATCATGTAATTTATATTCTTACACCCATTTATATAATTTATTACATTTACTGAGTTTTATATGTTGAAATG